TATAAAAAGCCCTATCGGCTAGAAGACTGCTAGCAGGTCTTCGAGGAAAACCGACCCGAAGGAGTTAACCCTTTAAAGAGGCTACGAGAAATAATATAATAATCTCTTAAGGAGGACCCCTCGTTATAGAAGAAGATAGACGAGATTCGGGTTGCTAAGAAATAGCAACTAATAACGCCGCTGCCCTTATTCGAGCCGTAAATTCGAGGAAAAATCGTTAGTATAGTAAATCCGGCATTCGTCTTCCCCACGGATTAGCAAGACCAACCGTTAGGACCCTCCGACTATCCCCTACGAAAATCAGCTATCCTTAACTCCGGTGCTTCCCTCGATATCTACAATACACTCTTACGATTCCGGTCCTTTAAGAAGGCACGGAGGGAATATCTTATTACCGGGGAATCGACCGTACGGATAGAGGGATACGGAAGGGTAAATTTTACGATAAAATTACCTAACGGATCTATACGAATTCTTCGAAGAAAAAGGGTAGCTTTTTGCCCTCGATTTTTAACGAGCCTAATTTCCTTCCGCCTTCTTCGAGAGGAAGGAATCTTCTAGGATATAACGTTTAAGCCTACGAGGCTAGTCTAGAAGAATTAGACTATTAGGCTTATCGAGGAAAAATTCGGTTAATTTATTCTCGAATTCTAACCTATCCTTAGGAAGGAACCTCTTAAGAAGACAGCTTTCCCTGCTAGGAGGAATAGGTCTACTATAAAGGACCCTCTACCGGCAGCCTAAGGAGACGGTATTCTTTAGCACGCACGACTTAGTTACCCGGGCCCCCTAGCTTTATATAAACTAGGTCAATAACAAGGCGTACGAATAAGGGGCCTAAAGACCGTCGAATGCGAATATTGCGGCTAAGGGAAGACTAGGAGACGAATTTCTAGACGAACGCCTATACGGCCGGACCAGTCGTGTAAGGAAATTTAGGTCGACTAGACCGACGTCTCTAGGGATTAGGAAAGCTTCGTTAGGGTAATGTTTTTTATAGACGCCTTTTTAGGGATGGTTTTCCCCTATTTCTTACGGACCTACCTAAGTAAGTATAACTAGTCTGCCCTCTAGGACTTCGTTAACTAGATAAAATCCTACTTTAGCTACGAGGTAAAGAAGATACGGTCTAACGGAGAGCTATTTACGAAGGATATCTTAAATTAGCTTCGAAAAAGGGGCATTTTACCCCTCCCGTTAGCACCGAATACCTAGGCCTAGAACGGAGGGGTAGAAAGATTAGGGGGTGCTATGATAGAAAGGGCCCGTACGATAAGACTTACTATAAAGCTTCTACACGACCTTTAGAGGGAAGTCGTTAAGACCGCCTATTACCTTCGGAACCGGACCCTAAGGGACCCTAGGGGACCAAGGGACTATAGGGACTAAGAGACCCTTTTTAAGACCTAAGGAATAGACTGGAAATCCCCCCTCGAGCTCTTTACGAAGAAGAGGGCCTCGCTAGCCCACCTTCGTGCCTACGGCTGTAAGGCATACGCAATAACTGCCGATGTATAGCTAAAAAGGAAGAAGAAAAGAAAGCTTGATCCTAGAGCCTTTGTTAGTTACCTCGTTAGGTATAATTCTACGAATATCTTCCGGATCTAGATTCCTCTTCTACGGAAGGTTATTTCGACTAGGGATATAATTTTCGACGAATCTAGCTTCTTCGACGGAAAGAAGGATTAATAACCCCTCTTACTTATATAACGTTAGCTAATTTAGAAGATCTAAATCCCCCCTTCCTAATAGTCTTAAGAAGAGGTCCTAGACGAGGAAATAGAAGAAGAAACCGACGTCGAAGTAGTCGAGGATAACGCCGACTTCGAAGAAGAGGAAGCTGCTAGATTAGATAATCTAGACAAAGAAGGAGACTATAGGAAAGCAGTAGAGCTAGAATACGCCTACCTCCCTACGCCTCCTCTTACGGAATAAGAAGAAGATCTAGAAGCAGCTTTTTTAGTTAGTCTTCCCGTCTCGACCCCTAAGGGGGTAGGAAAGGCACCTCTCTCGAAGGATTACCCGGCTGCCTTTTTATCCCTACTTCGAGAAGCAAAGGAAGGTATAGGGCCCGATATAAAAGAAGACTAGTTACTCCCTTATTTCGATCGTTTTTCCGACTTCTATCTAATGCCTATAGAAGACGGTTCCTACGGAGCATTTATAGCAGGCCGGCTTTTTAAGCCTCTATTAGTAAGGAAGGTATATAAAAGAGACCTCCCGGACCTACCAGCAAACTAGAAGCAGCTAGAAAGACACCCGTTTAGAGACTAGTTTTTCTAGGCCTAGAAAGACCACCTAGCCTTATACGAAGAGATAGGGTCTTTCGAAGAAGTCCTTAAGGAAAAGGCAAGAGGAAAATAGGTCCTTAGCTATAAGTAGGTCTTTATCTATAAGACTAATAAACACGGCTTCCTTTAAAAGTATAAAGCCCGGCTAGTTATATACGGGAACTAGCAAGAAAAAGGGGATCTTCTTACTAGGGCAACTACCCTAGCAGGGATGTCTTTTTAGACCCTTATAGCTATAGCAGTAGAATTCGACCTCGAACTCGATTAGATAGATATAGTTAACGCCTTTATTAACTGCCTACTCGAGGAAGAAGAAGTTATCTATATACGCCCTCTACTAGGCTTCTAATAGCTAGGAAAGGTTCTACGGCTTAGGAAAGCTCTATACGGACTACGAAGATCACCCCTTCTTTAGTAATAGCATTTAATAGGTTCCCTCGAAGCCCTAGGCTTTAAGAAAGTCCCTTAGGAACCGTGTATAATATAGAAGGGTAAAATCACGGTCTTCTTCTACGTCGATAATATTATCTAGGCCTACCTAAAAGAGGAAGAAGCTACTACTAGGGAGGCTATACGAGGCCTGCAATAAAGGTATAAGATAACTAGGCTAGGGGAGCTAAAGTGGTTCCTAGGGATACGAATCCTTCGGAATAGGTCCTAACGGACTATCTAGCTTACCTAGGACGCCTATATCGATAAGGTCGCTTATAAATTCCTCCCTAATTCCCTCGATAAGAAGCTTCCCTCTACGCCTATATTAGACGAAGAGCTTTTACCTAATCCGTCCTTTTAAGCTAGGAGTAAGAGAAACACTAATATTAATAGAAGGTAGGCTCCCTCCTTTTTTTAGCTATTTCTACTAGACCGGATATCTCTTTTACGGTCTCCCGGCTAGCTAGGTATAACTAGAATCCTAGCCCTAGGCATTAAGAAGCAGTAGATAGAGCTATCCTTTATCTCTATTTAACGAGATTATATAGTCTGCGCCTAGGAGGGCAGGAAAGGAAGAAATTAGCTGCCGAAATCTTCCTCTATTCGAGCGATTCGTCCTTTATAGACAATTCCTTAGACAGAAAGACCTTATAGGGGTATATTATGTCCCTTTTTAGAGGAACCATTGCTTAGAGAGCTTCGAAGTAGGCCACCGTTACGACTTCTAGTACGGAGGCAGAGCTACTAGCTCTTTTAGAAGCGTTAAAAGAAGCGATTTTCCTTAGCCGGCTATTAATATCTCTACGACTGCAAATTCCGACCCTATTAGCTATAGAATGCGATAACACGCAGACTATACGAATTCTTACGGAAAACAGTAAGTTGTCGACCCGGCTACGGTATATCGATATCTACTAGCATTAGTTACGCTAAGAGGTCTAAAGGGGACTTATTTCCGTCCGTTAGGTTCTAACGGCATCAATGAAAGCCGACGGTCTTACGAAGCCCCTGCCGAAGCAGAAGCTAGCTGTCTTCTTATAGCAAATTAGGCTAGAAGACGTTCGAGAGAAGCTGTCCTTAGAGGCCCGCCTTAAGAGTCTACGAGAGGAGCTAATGGCCCGTACGAGAAGGTAACGTCTGCAGCCGAAGAAAAGGAAGAGGTTTTTCCCTTTAGAGGGCCCCTTATTTTGATTGGGTTTTTCCCTTCTAAGAAGGCCCCCTTTCTTATAGGACTTTCCCCTCTTTAGGCCCCTTTTCCTTAAGTAGGTCTAAAAGAGCCTAGGGACCCGAAAGGGCCCCTGCTTTCCTCGAGTAAAGGGAGAAGTGCAGAGCTAAGAACCTCCTCTATACGCTTACTAGCCCGAAGCCGTATTAGCTATGCCCTTACTATAAGGGCAGGCTATAGCTAAGGGGGTGTATCGCGAAGCGTGGCCTGATTTCGCAGTTCTCGAAGATATCCCTTAGTAAGAGGGACTAAGGAAGCTAGAAACACCCGGTATAGAAGAAGGAGCCGAGAAGAGGTGTAGAAAGGAGGGTGGGGGCATAAGGGAAAGCATAAAGTAGCGAGAGATAAGACGGATATGCCGGAAACGGCTGCAAAGGAAGGAAAAAACCGGCAAAAAGCTCGGTAGTTAAAAGGACATTAGTGGCTTCTTTAAGCAGGATCTTCTTTGTTAATTAAGATGCTAGACGGGTATAAATAGGGGCGTTGGATAGAGGAAAGAAGGACAATTAAGGCAATACAACAATCACTCCCCTACTACAATTACTGCCCCCGTAAGATTCAAACATCTCTGCCCTGCCTGTCCGACCCCTTACTTCTAATTTCACCTTCGTGCATTTTATATGCACTTCTCGCATCTCTCTTCGCGAGATATATAGCTATATTAGTTAGTATATAAGTCTTATTAGTCGATCTTATTGTGAAAGGCTGGCCCGGAGTTTATTCAACAAGCAGGTGCCTAGGTGTTGTCTATCTAGAGCTAAGGAGGAAAAGAAGCTGAACTCGAGGCGTAGCCTCGAGTGCGAGCTTATATTGCCCTTCTCGGAATGTTCTCGCAGCTTCTGGGTCCGCGGAGCGGGCCGGTGTTGCCACCGGAGCACGACCCACCGGACCCGGTACAACGGGTTCACCAGCCGGGCACAGCCCGTGACATTACCCCTTGTCCCCTCCGACCAGGTCGGCGTCTGCGGGGTTCTTGCGTTCCTGCCAGCGTCTCGTACCCTCCCTAGGGCCATCATTGGTCTTGATTGGCCCGTACTTGTCCTCGAATGCCTTCATCGCAATTGTTCCTGCAACCACTCAACTGGCTCCCAAGTCGGCTCTGCGTAGCCCGTCCATCGCACTAGTGCTTGCCTGAATTCCCCTCGTCCGCGCTTCTTCCATCTCGCGCAGAGGATCTCGTCGACATCCCACAGATCCGTGCCGGACTCATCTTGTACCGGTGGTGGCTGTGCGTCATCTACCTTTGGCCAGGAGCCGGATCTTGATGCGCCCGCCGCAAAGGTCAACATGAAATCGCGGGTAAATTGAGCCACGAACATCGAGCTCAACAACGTGCGAACTAATTACCTTCGTGACTGTGTACTTGTGATGCAGCCAGTCGAGCTTCTTGCACGGTCGTGGCGATCTGTAGTTTGCCATCGAGAGCCACACCTTGTCACCAACTTCAAATCGCTCCGCAGGCTGTCGCTTTGCGTTGGCAGCCTCTTCTTGTTGTTGCTGTGAGGAGGCCATCACTGCTTGCATGTACTCATTGACCTCCTGCAGGCGACTGAGTAGGCTATCAGCTCTGCTTTCCTCTCTATGCCTCGGTGGCTCTTCCGATTCCTCGACGCTGATGGGATCGACGTGGTAACCATGCTCACTGAAAAAGGGGCTGATCTTGGTCGCTGCGGATTCACGATTGTTGAGTGCCAGCTGCGCGGCAGGGAGCAGTTCTCCCCAGTCGTCCTGCACGTACGACACGTAGGCTCTCAGGTAGGCCTAGATCTCCTGGTTCATTCTCTCTGGCCTCCGTCCGTCTGAGGATGATAGGCCGTGCTCAATTTCTGCGTGACACCTGCAAGACGGCAGAACCTCTTCCAGAACCTACTTAGCCAGTTGCTCCCGCGGTCGCTGACGATGGACCGTGGCATTCCGTGAAATCGGTAATGACACTGGAGAAAACGGTTTGCACACGGCTCAGCTTCCATGTTGTCCATCACCTCGAGGGTCACAGCCTTTGTCAGTCTGTCCACAATCACCCACAGGTACCTTGCCTTGCTCGGTCCAGTAGGCGGCAGATCTGTGATGAAGTCCATGGACAAATGGCTTCGGGGTCGATCTGGAATCGGCAGAGGCTTGAGAAATCCCCTTCGACTGGCGCCAGATGTGTGCTCTGCCGCAGGTGTCGCAATTGGCTACGTACCGGCGAACCAGCTGGGACTGCCCAGGCCAGTAGAATCGCCGAGCCACAATAGCCAGCGTACCTTCCCTGCCGGGATGACCGGTCGCAACAGAGTCATGCGACTGCTGCACAATGCGGGTTCTCAACTGGTCTTTCTCAGCTTCCTCCTGGTTACCCTCCTCTCCGGATCCACCCGGCACCCAAATACGGTCTCTGAATGTCAGCCTTTGCCTGCGTCGATCGCACATTCTGAAATCTGGATCTTCAGGCCCAGCGAGGGCGGGAAGGCACGCTCGCGATCGCGGACTGCCTTATAGGCTGCCCGGAATATCGAGTCCTTCGCCACCGTTTCGTCCCAGAGTTGCTGCAGGTCCGCTACCTCGAAGACCTTCATCTTCGGCAGGGTGGATGCCTCTGAACAGTCAGAACTCATCGCGTTGATACATGCTCTTGTCGATGATGGAATGGCACTATCCGGTATCAACTGTATCATTCTTCCTTGTTCCCGCTCGTCGTCAATGCCCTGTGGCTTGTCTTGTTCACGGCGGGACAAAGCATCAGGCACGACAGCCCCGCTTCCCCGGCGATACTCGAGCTTGAAGTCGAACTGGGGCAAATTGGCTGCCCCACCGCTCTGCCGTTTCCTGGGGTTCTTGCGTGTCGCGAAATACTCCAGGTTGCGGTGATCGGTAAGGATTGTAAATGGGCCGCAGCTCCTAAGTTCGGCGTTCCAGTTGTCGAGACATCTCATGATGGCAAGCATCTCCTTGTCGTGAATGGGATAGTTGTACTCCGCTGGCGAAAGTCGCTTCGAGAAGAAGGCGCATGCGTGTCGACGTCCATCTGGGCCTTCCTGCGACAGGACGCCTCCCAATGCGTAGCCTGAGCAATCCGTCTCCAAAAAGGTCGGGAGGCTCGGGTCCCACTGCTTGAGCACCGGTGACTCGCAAAATCGTCGCTTCAGCTCCTGAAACGCCTCGTTCTCCGCTCGTCCCCAATGAAAGGCAGTTCTTTCTTAAGCAGGGCATCCAGAGACTGCGTGATCTTGGCATAGTCGGGGATGAAGATCCGGTAATAGTTGGCGAAGCCCAGAAAGCTTCTGACACCCTTCACCGTGGTCGGGGCCTCCCATTCGCGGATGGCGCGCTGCTTTTCGGGGTCGCAGGCGATTCCTTTCCCTGCGTTGACGATGAACCCAAGGTATTTGACCTCTTGTACCGAAAACTCGCACTTCGCTGGGTCTAGGTGCAGCCCAGCGTCGGCGAGTGCTTGGAGAACTCGTCGCACCTTAGCCTCATGATCCGCCTTCGAACCGCTCGAGTAGATCAGTACATCATCCAGGTACGCTGTGACAAAGTCGTCCAGCCATTCGCGCAATACACTGTTCATGTATCGTTGGAATGATGCCGGGGCGCCGCTCAGGCCGAAAGGGCACACGAGCCACTCGTAGAGCCCAAACCTCGTGCGAAATGCAGTCTTTCCTCATGTCCTGGAGCCATGCGGATCTTATGGAAAGCGGCCACCACGTCCAACTTGGTGAACCACTTAGCCTTGGCCAGATTCTGCAGGGTCTCCGCGATGAGGGGCAGTGGGTATCGGTCGCGCTTGGTGATTGCATTCAGCGCTCGGTAGTCGCAACAAAATCGCAGCCCTCCATTCGGCTTCCGCACGAACAGCACCGGCGCGGCAGCCGCTGAGCTACTCGCTCGGATGAATCCTCTGTCCAGCAGGTCTTTCAGGGTCTTTCGCAAGACCAACAGCTCTTCTCGTGACATGTTGTAGAGTGGGCCCCACGGAAGGGGTGGCTCGTTGCCGTTCTTGTCAGGCTGCAGGTTGACTTCATGATCCACACCCGGTCGATGTGGCGGCAGCTTCATTGCCTCTCCTGGTGAGAATAGGTCGCGGAATTCTTTCAGCACTTCTGCCGGGACCTTCTCGCTCGGATCGACTGGCGGCTTCGGCTGAAGCGCCCTCTATATCCGACAAACTGATTGCATGAATCGAGATCGCGTTGCACTTCTTGCGTCTCTTTGCGCGTCGACACTCCGCCGTGAATACGGCTGCCGACACGAGTCTTGCGCTTCGAATCGCGCGTATCTTGGCGGGCTCTTCCTGCCCAATGAGGCGTATCGTCACACCTGCCCTCCCATGGTACATTCGCTGCTTGGCAGCATCGTACACGACGTGATTTCTCTCCATCCAAGGCCGGCCGAGGAACATGTCCTGGCCCAGGCTTGGGATCACGTATGCAAAGACACGTTCGTCAAATCCAGCTGTCTCGACCACAACAGCCACGACCCTGGGGATATGACACTCTTCGCTGACTCTGAGAATCCCCAATTTCTCGTGGTTTCGAGTCGACGAAGGGTATCCGCAGCTTCCGAACAAGGGCTTCGTCGATCACGGCATAGCAGTCACATCCACAGTCGACAAGGGCGCGTATTCGATAGCCTCGGTTTACCCGCGCGTTGACTAATACAGTCCGACTATTCATTCGTGGCTTGAACGCTTCCCAGTCCCGGATGTCTGCCTTTGCAGGCCCCGGCGCCCGCTTTCCCCGGGGCTAGTCTTTTCCCGCCGACTCGTCCTCACTGGATGCTGCGGTTGATTCCGAATCATCTGCGGCATCGGGCTTCTTCATGCGCGCAGCTTTAGGTCGCTGTTGCTTCCCTTCGCCAGGAAAGACCACCTGGGCTGGGCAGTCCACGATAAGATGATCCGTCCGACCACAGCGATAGCAGCGGCGCTCATCCTTCGGCTTCTTATCGACATGTCGACGACCCTTCGACTCGTGGCCAATACGGTTGATGTCCGTCATCTTAACATCTCCGTCGGGGTCCTCCGGTTCCTCCTTGGGTCGTTGCCTTGGTAGCTGTTGAGGCGTCCGCTCAGTCGACGTCGGCTGCCTACCGGGTTTCAGTCTCTCCAATCTGCCCGCAATTTCCTGAACTCGCAAGCCATCCCTGGTAGTCGTCGGGTAGGACAGCTGTGACCAAACTCTCTTGGAGGCGTGCATTTATTGCGTTCTCTAGAAATACGATCTTTGCACTGTCCGGCCAGTCTGCTCCCCGGCTTCAGCTAATGCCTGTTCGAATCGGGGAAGGAAGGACGCGAGAGGTTGGTCTCGCGCTGCCGCATAGTTCTCAGCGTGGCAGCAGCGCAGGATTGGATGTTGCTGTCCTGGTAGGTTCGGTCGAGGTATCGCATGAACTCTTGGGGTCGTAGCTACCCCAGGGCCTCCCGCGGCGTAAAAGGTAGCGACCACTTGCTGTGGTCGCTCGTCCAAACATGAGTTGATGAGGTACCAAAGTTCGCGATTTCCACTGTAGTAGTGTGCATCAAGGTCCAGCTTGTCTCGCATCTGCCTGGCCCAGGAGGAGTAGCTCTTCCGTGAGCCGTCATACTTGGGTGGGTTGGGCAACGGTTTCCGCATTCCAGTACCGCAGGTTTTGGGGAGGGGCGTGCCCAAGCCAGGCGTGCTCTCGCCCAATCCTCGTGCCACTGGCGGCGATTGCAAGTCGGCGCTCTGCGGCTGCGCTCGCCCGAGTTGCTCCATCAGCAAGGAAAGTTGGTCCTGTAGAGGGCTGAGAGTCGCATTGACCGCTTCTTGAATGCGTTGGTCAATCCATTGCTGCTGGAGACTTGGCTCTCACTCTGCTGGTCCATCCTGACGAGCAGTCTGCAGCTTGCGGTATTTAGAAGGAGCTCTAGATATGTGAAAGGCTGGCCCGGAGTTTATTCAACAAGCAGGTGCCTAGGTGTTGTCTATCTAGAGCTAAGGAGGAAAGAAGCTGAACTCGAGGCGTAGCCTCGAGTGCGAGCTTATATTGCCCTTCTCGGAATGTTCTCGCAGCTTCTGGGTCCGCGGAGCGGGGCCGGTGTTGCCACCGGAGCACGACCCACCGGACCCGGTACAACCGGGTCCACCAGCCGGGCACAGCCCGTGACACTTATTATATCTATTAGTTCGGTTACTATTTTTATTTATATCGCTAAAGCCTATAATAATTTACTTAAATAGTTATCCCTTTTATCTTATTTAATAGCTTAATTATTATAAAGTTTTACTTTCTCTTAAATCTACTAGTCCTAGAAACTTATATCTTCTTTTTAATATAGCTAGCTAGTTTTTTAGTTAATTAATAGGTTGCTCTTTTATAGCTATAAAAGTCTTAATATAAGGTTATATTTTTTAATATTTATAATATTAAAGTTAATATATTTATTATAGCCCTAGATATTAATATTAAGGTAATTAATCTCTATATTAATAATTCTATTATTATAGTTAAAGGTCTCTCTTTTAATATTTATAAGTTTATATAGATCTTTCTTATATCTCTATATAAGTTAGTAACGATTAATAACTCTAGGTAAAATATAATTACCTATCGCGCTATAATCTAAAAGTATATATATATAATATCCTATAATTTAGATATCTAATACTATTTAATTACTATAAATTACTATTACTATATATAGGGTCCTTAGATCCTATTATATTATACTAGTCTATAGCCCTTTTATAGATAGTATACCTTATTTTTTACTTAGTCTTTATTCGTTTTATTTAAGTATTTTTCTTTAATATATTATTAATATTATTTCTTTATTCTTTTATCGCGTTAAGTTATTATTTAACTTAAGAGGCTAACTTTTTATAACTAGTTAAAGATTTCTTATTTTTCGACGCTATATTATTTATACTAAGTTACTTTATAGTTAATTATATAGTTTATATCGTAATTCTATTTATTTTTATATTAAAGATTAAATTTTTATTCTATATCTTTTTATTTTACGTATAGTTTATTTATATTAATTTTTCCTTAGTTAAATATAGCTTATAGCCTTTATATATATTACTAGTAATCTTTTAGTATATTATTATATCGTTTATACTATACTTATACTTTTTCGTATTTATAAACTCTATAGTTTAGGTATATATATTCGTTATAATCTTCTTTATTATATTTAACTTATTATATAAGCCTTTAAAAGATTAATAGTTTAAATACCTTAAAGTAAGTAGCGTTATACTATTCCTTTATTTTAGTATATTTATAGATTTTATATATCTTTAAAAGATATCTTATTAATAAACTATAATTATCGTAGTATTTAAGTAGCATACTATAATTAAGTTCTAATAATATAACTTAGTCGTTTAGGTAGCGTTAATTAATTTTCTAATAGTTTAGGTTTATACTTAGGTAGGGTTTTAAAAGTACTTATCCCTTAAATATAACTAAGAAAGTATTATATTATACCTTTATCTAGAAGTATATTATATAATTTAAGTAGATATATAATATCTATAAAATATACTTATACGTTTTATAACTAAGTACTATTCTTAAGTTATTTAAAAATTCTCTTTATAGTTACTATTCTTATTATAAAGCTATAAAAGTATCGACCGTGGTAATAGCTATAGTATAATCTTCCCTATATAGTACCGGTTTATATTAAACTATTATAGCTTATTAATTTTCTATAAGAATTTAAGGTATTTATTAAGTTTTAATTTTAAGTATTTCTTTAAATTCTTTAAAGTATTAAGCGTATTCTTTAATTATAGTATTTCCTTTTAATAGTAAGGGTAGTAGTATAAGTTTATTCTTATCTTTATTTCTCTAAGTATTTCTTATTTTTTAAAGCTTATATTATTAATACTTTATTATTCCTTTTTAGGTTATTATCTAAGTTTCGTAAGTATAAGGGCTATATTTATATCTTTTTTATTATATTATTTATAAACTACTTATTATTAATATTAATTTTTATTTTATATATCTTCTTAGAATTATTTACCGTTCTTCTTAATCTAGTTTTAAGAGACTCCTTTAAGATAAGGGTATTTTAGTTCTATAAATTTAACTTATTTCTATATTTTAAGATCCCTTTATTATATTATTATAAGGGTTTTCTTTAATAGCTTTAAGAGCTATTTAATACCGTTCTTATCGCTTAGGTATACTATATATTTATCGTTATAGTATATAGTCTAACTAAGGAGTTTATACTTTAGTTCTTATTTATTAGTAGCGTTTAGGTATTTCTTACCTTTTAAGGCTAGTACTTAGTAGGTTTTCTTCTCTTTATAAGGTTATTTATATTCCTTAAAGTAATATCTAAGTTTCTTATAATTAAAATACTTTTCTTTACCTTTTTATATTATACTTAAATCTATTAGTCTAGGATTTATTATATATACCTAGGCTATTTATATTTCGCGCTTTTTTTTATAGTTAGCGCGTTAGCTAAAGTTATTTTTATAAGAAGAGTTTTAGTTTCCTCTTCCTTACTTCTTTTCTTAGCGTTATATATACTATCTATCGTTAATTTATACTACTATAGTAATATAGTCTAAGAGGGTATTAAGTCGATTTTCCTTATAAAGCTCGTCCTTAACTTCTTCTTTAAGCCTATTATAGAATCGTTATATAAGAGGTTCGTTATCTTAATTAAGCTTTAAGGTAACTTAATAAAACTTTATAGTATAATCTAATACTAAGATCCTTTATTAAAGTTCTTAAAGTTTTTATTTAGCTTCTTATTCCTTATTAGTTATTCTAAATACCTTTATAATAGCTTCTTTAAATCCTTAGAAACTAATAAAGACTTTATCTATCTTATTATCTTATTACGCTAGTTAGTTATTAAGAAAGTCCCTTATAATAAGTCTAAACTAAGTAAGTACTATTCTAAATAAATAATTTCTTATATAGAGTACCTTTTCGACTAGGTCTAAGAGTTTAATAAGGTAAAACTAGTAATAGGCCTTAAGTTAAGTAAGAAAGTCTTAAAGTATACTATAAATACTATTAAATAGTCCTAGCTATTTTAGTTTAACTACTTCTCTAAGGTC